GAGCGCCGCTGCGCTTCCCAAGCGGCGCACTGTAGCAGTGCGCCACCGGGCTGGCCCCAGAGTTTACAGCTTTTAATAAATTATCATTTAAGTATATTGTTTGATATGACTATATAAATATCTGGAGCTGTACATACATACCTATCAATGTATTATAAAGTTATCAAATAAAAGAACTGTATAAAAGAGAGAGACTGGTAGCTCTGGGTACATAATCTGTCCTCAAAAGTAGGTAGAAAGTAGGTATCTTCTATATCTTCTGTCCAGGTGGCAGTCCTTCGCGGCCTCGCCCAGGCATGCACAGGCATACCTTGTTTTATTGCACTTTGCTTGATTGCTCTTCAAAGATATTGCATTTTTTACAAATTTAAGGTCTATGGCAACCCTGCATTGAGCAGGTCTATCGGCGCCATTTTTCCAATAGCATGTGCTCACTTCCTGTCTTTGTGTCACATTTTGGTAATTCTTGCCATATTTCAAAATGTTTATTATCAGTATATCTGTTATAGTGATCTCTGATCAGTGATCTTTGATGTTACTAATGCACTTGTTTTGAGGTGCCACTAATTACATCCATTTAAGATGGTGAGCTTAACCGATAAATGTTGTGTGTTCTGACTGATACACTGACCAGCAGCATTCCCCTGTCTCTCTCCTCAGGCCTCCCTATTCCCTGAGACACAAAAATATTGAAATTAGGCCAAGTAATAAATGTACAATAGCCTCTAAGTGTTCAAGTGAAAGGAAGAGTTGCACCTCTCTCACTTTAAATCAAAAGCTAAAAATGATCAAGCTTAGTGAGAAAGGCATGTTGAAAGCCAAGAAAGGGGTCTGGACTGTGGCTCACTCTGGACAGCGTGGTGCTGACAACACCAAGTCAAGGGTTAAGACCCCCTTACTGGTCATCTTTAAAAAAAGAAAAAAGAAAGCCAAGAAAGGCCAAAAGCTAGGCCTCTTGCACCAGATAGTTAGCCAAGTTGTGAATGCAAAGGAAAAGTTCCTGAAAATTAAAAGTGCTGCTCCAGTGAACACACAAATGATAAGAAAGCAAAACAGCCTTATCGCTGATATGGAGAAAGTTTTGGTCGTTTGGATAGAAGCTCAAACCAGCCACAACTTTCCCTTAAGGCAGAGCCTAATCCAGAGCAAGGCCTTAACTCTCCTCAATTCTAGGAAGGCTGTGCTGGCTGGTTAGCTCGGCTGGTTAGAGTGTGGTGCTTATCACACCAAGGTCCAGGGTTCGATTCCCCCTCCTTACCCAATTAAAAAAAAAAAAATTCTAGGAAGGCTGAGAGAGGTGAAACAGCTGCGGAAATAAAGTCCAAAGCTAGCAGAGGTTGGTTCACGATGTTTAAGGAAAGCAGCCATCTCTATAACATAACAGTGCAAGGTGAAGTAGCAAGTGCTGATGGAGAAGCTGCAGCAAGTTATCCAGAAGTTCTAGCTCAGATCATTGATGAAGGAAGCTACACTAAACAGATCTGTAATGTAGATCAAACAGCCTTATATATGTCATCTAGGACTTTCATAGCTAGAGAGGAGAAGCCAAAGCTTCAAAGCTTCCAAGGACAGGCTGTCTTGTGAGGGGCCTAATGCAGCTAGTGACTTTAAATTAAAGCCAACGCTCTTTTACCATTCTGAAAATCTAGGGCCTTGTATTAGTTCATTTCTATTGCTTGTAATAGAATACCAGGAACTGAGTAATTTATAAAGAAATGAAATTTATTTCTTACGGTTTCACAGGCTTGGAAGTCCAAAGTCCAGGGAACACATCTGGTGAGGGCCTTCTTAGTGGGAACTCGCTACAGGGTCCTGTGGTGACCAGGGTGTCACATGGCAAAAATGGGCTGAGCAAGAGTGGGCTAACCTTCTCACTCGCTCTTTTTATAAAAGCCATCAAAGCCATCAGAACCATGCCCATGATTCCATGAATGGATCAATCCATTCACAAGGGCACAATCCTCACAATCCAATTACCTCCTAATGGCCCCAGCTTTCAAATACCATAATTGAATTTCCCACCCTCTTAACACTCTTACAATAGGGGCCAAATACCCAGTACAGAAGGGTAATAAGTCATGCTCATATGTACCACTGATAGGGCACTTCACCTCTGTGCTATTCTCCCCCCAAACTCATAACCTCGATCTAATCATGAACCTAATAGTGACAAATCTTAGTTGAGGGATATTCTAAAACAATACCTGACCAGTACTCTTCCAAAATTTCTAGGTTATGAAAGACAAGGCAATCCAGAGAAACTTTTATAGATCTGAGGAAACCAAGGAAACATGATAATTAATGTAATCTGTCCTGGCCTGGATTCTGAAGAAAAAAAAGGACACTAGTGTAAAAACTATTGAAAAACAAATACAGTTTTCTTAATCTAGCTAAAGGCTTGTCAATTTTGTTAATCTTTTAGAAGAACCAACTTTTTCTCTACCATTTTTCTATTCTTTATCTTATCTCTGCTCTAATCTTTATTATTTCCCTCCTCTTGCTAGCTTTGGGTTTAATTTGTTCTTCTTTTTCTAATTCCTTAAAGTGTAAAGTTAGGTTGTTGATTTGAAATCTTTCTTCTTCTTCTATTTCTTTTTTTTTTGGCAGCTGGCCAGTAAGGGTATCTAAACCCTTGATCTTGATGTTATCAACACTGTGCTCTAACCAACTGAGCCAGTCGTCCAGCCTCCTCAAGTCATCTATTTCTTTACTTATCTTCTGTCTGGTTGTTCTATTTATTATTGAGAGTGGGGTGTTAAAGTCTCCAACTATTATTGTAGAACTTTCTATTTCTCCCTTCAATTCTATCGATTTTGCTTTATATATTTTGATGGTTTATTGCTAGGTACATAAATGTTTATCATTGTTTTATCTTCTTGCTGTATTTAACCTTTTATTAATACATAATCTTTATGTTAGATGCAGTTCCAAACTCATCTGCTAACATTTTTACCACTAGTGAAATATGGTCTTTGGGAGGAATGATCAATGATAGCGTGCTGGTGCAATTGCATGAGGAAAGTCGAGTTGTCTGAGCCATGGGGGAAGGGCCCCTTCTGACGCCAACCACAGTGATCCTCCCCAGGAGTCTGGGGCTGCTTCCCAGAGGTCCAGAGAGAGAGAGTTGGCTAGTTCCTAGTTATCCTCATTGGGCCATGTAGCATGCAGAGGGTCATCCTGAAGGGTTTGGGAACCAAGAGGGCATAGCCCAATGTGGCACTCACCCACAGGCTACCTCCAAGCTCTGAATGAGTTTCTTGATCTTCCAGATCTCCACGTCCCTGTCAGCACCACTGGGGTCTTCCGCCATCTTCTGGCCTCCTCCTCCCTAAGGGCCCAGTACTGGGCAGCAGCACCTGCTCCCTCTGGATCATGTTTTTTATTTTATTTTATTTTTAAAAGATGACTGGTAAGGGGATCTTAACCCTTGACTTGGTGTTGTCAGCACCATGCTCTCCCAAGGGAGCTAACCGGCCATCCCTATATAGGGATCCAAACCCACGGCCTTGGTGCTATCAGCACCACACTCTCCCAAGTGAACCACGGGCCAGCACTTTTTAATTTTATTTTATCATTAAAAAAATTTTTTTTTAAAGTCACTGTCTTGCTTTAATCAAGCTTTTAAAGGTATAATCAACCAGGTAAGGGTAATAGGGAATATTTCCCAACATTTCTCGTGTTAACTCAAAGTTTAGGTCCTTTGGAGTAAAACAGGCTCTTCACTGTTTTCTCAAGTTGCAAAAAACTTCTCCCCCTGTATTCCTGTATTCAACCTCGGCTGCCACAGCCTGACAGACAGAAAGTGTGAGGGCTTTTTTCTTGCCTCTGTAGTAGAAATGGATCATGTTTTAAAACTCATTTAGCCAATCTCTGTCTTTTGATTGGAGAGTTTAATCCATTTAATTTCAAGTATTTACTACAAAGAGGGATTTACTACTGCCATTTGTTATTACAGCTTTTTTGTTCCTCATTTTCTGCATTGCTGTCTTTTTCCTGGAAGTTGCAAGCCTTAGAATAGACTCCAGATTCTGCCAGTACTATTGTCTCGGTGCAGAGAGAGATTCCTGGTGTTTCCTACTCTGCCATCTTTCCTGGTGTCACTGTGACCTTACTAGTTTTTATTTACTCTCTTTTCAATACTTATTTCTCACTTGTCATTTCTTATTTGGTTATGTTATATAATGATTGTTTTATATTCTTGATATTTTTCAAAGAACCAATTTTTAAATTGATTGATTGGTGTACTTTATTATTTCAACTCTTTTTCTGTTTTCTGATTCAGTATTTCTTGTTTTTATATTTATTAATTTCTTCCTTCTGTATTCTTTCAGTTTACTTTGTTTTTTTGAGTTGTGTTTAATCCACTTACTTTTATTTTCTTTTAATAATTCAGTTAAGCTCATTTAAATTGGTTGATACAATTGATTTGTTTGGTCTCAGTTGTATTATTTTATTTTGTCTTTTCTGAATATTCTATTTTTATTTTGCTCTGTTGTCTGTTTTCTTTTCTTTTTTTTTAAAGATGACCGGTAAGGGGATCTTAACCCTTGACTTGGTGTTGTCAGCACCATGCTCTCCCAAGTGAGCCACCGGCCGGCCCCTCTGTTGTCTGTTTTCTTTTCTTTTTTTTTAAAGATGACCGGTAAGGGGATCTTAACCCTTGACTTGGTGTTGTCAGCACCATGCTCTCCCAAGTGAGCCACCGGCCGGCCCCTCTGTTGTCTGTTTTCTTTGCCCATTTTCATTTGCTTTTTGTATCAGACAAGCTGAACCACTTTGAACGTTACAAAATAACATATTTACAGTGGGCATTAGACCTTCTACAACTCTAGGTTCTAGTAAATAAGTCTTTGTAAGACTGTTGCCTGTGTGTCTGCTGCCGGCCTGAAGTCAGCACGGCTGGCGATAAAGGAGGGGAAAATGGGTGTGTAGTTAGGAAACCTGGGACAGACAAACGAGAACTTTCTAGGACAAGCTAGAACAGCATCTGAATCTCATTACCTCAAATCTCATTGTTGCAGGTGACCTATGGGATAACCTGGTTCTCTTCACTATGGGGCAGTGCATGCCCCTGTCCCAGGATTGGGAGAAACTGCAGGAGGAATCTGGCAGGAGCTGGAGTTGGTGGGGGTGTGGCTGTCCCATGCCAACACAGCGAGCAGTAGAGCAGGAACAATGTGCATGAAGTGTAACAGACCACACCTGCCACTTCCCGGTGTAAAAATGTTACTTTTCCATCTGCCAAATATTGGGCACATTTCTTTTGTGGCTGAGCCCAACTCAGAACCAGACTGGGAAGAAAATTCAGATAAACAGTTTGAATGAACTTAGCTAAGTTGATACAGCAGAAAGCCTATATACATACACACACACAAACACAGACACACATATATTAAAGAAAATTTTTTTTCTAATTGTTACCTTTATAATACTCTCTGTTCCCATTTTCCTTTAAACAATATCTATGGTTATAAAACTAGCTTGTAACCTCTTCTTCAGTCTTCCCTCTCTTCTCCACTTTCCAAAATTTATAGTCAATAGTGTATTTCTTATAGTTTTTCTTTGTACCTTCAGATAAACTTAGGCTTCCATCATTTGATTTTTCCAGCTTTATGTAATATCCTGTGGCATATAGCTATTACCTCTGAATCAGCTATGAGTTTATTGGATTTTTCTCCCTTCTCCCACTTTTTGTTTGTTTTGGTGGCTGGCCGGTATAGGGATCGAACCCCAGACCTTGGAGTTATCAGCAGCACGCTCTAGGCAACTGAGCTAACCAGTCAACCCCCAACAATCCCACTTTTTAAGTGATGTTATTTTCATTTTGACTGAGCATATCACATGTTCACATTAGTTCACTACCTGTATTCCTATGTTTGCTTTAGTACTTAGATCTTTAGCTAAGCTCAGTCAATACTTACCACAAATATTTTTTCCAAAGTTTTCCCAATAATCTCTTCTAGCCCATTCTCTCTTAGGTTCCTCAAGAAGAGCTAATGGGAGCAATATCCCTTGAGTTCTGGCATACTTAAAATTGTTCTCCTACAGCCTTGATATTACAAGTTAACTGGCCCACAGTTTCTTCCCCGTGTAGATGTTTTCTTGTACTGAATGTTTGTGTCAGGAACATAATGCCAACATATGCATGTGTATATGTCATGGACCATGCCATTGGCACCCGTCAAATCTTTGGCCTCTGCCTTGCTAACCACATAGGCCACGCTGCCACACATGTGACCCAGCCAGCCAAATCATGGACACTGGGGAAGAGGAAGGGCAAATCCAACTTTTCTGATACCGAAGCAATATGACTGTCCCATATGCCTGTTCTATACTGAGGGACAGAGGTAGCAGTAACCTTTTTTCTTGTTTACTGCCAGTGTTTGGATATGGATTCAAATCAATCTCTACTGATAGTGCTTCAGACAATAGCAGAAAGTTGCTTATAATTTTTAGAGCAAAGTAATAGAAACATCGACTTACAAATTAAAAGAAAATTGAAATACTGAAAGTGGTCAGAGTAATTGTAAAGAAAAGAGGAGGAGGACTAAAGCTTTCAACAAAGACCCAGAGTGGGAAAATTTTCATTTCTGTAGACAAAGAGGTCTTTGAAAAAAATAAATGCCTATATTGGCCTCTAGACAGAAATAATTCCTTAGGCCCACCCTTCTGTGGGCTCAGAATCAAGTTGCGTCCCCTAATCCACATGCCTGTTATGGGACCTGGGAATTAGGTCATTTCCACACAGGAGAACTCCTCAGTCACTCTGGTCCTTGTGTCTTCTGCACACTAGGTGGCACCCATGTCCTTGTTCTGGCTTTGACAAATTTCCCTCTCTTCAGATATTTTAATGTTATGGGAATTTCTAATCAGATTATGACTTCTACCTCTTTCTCCGTGAATGTTACCTTAGGACCACTCTGTATTTTTAATTAAATCTTTCCTTTCCAGTTAATCTGTTGAGTCAAAATTCCCTTTAAAAACAAGGTTGTAGGGCTGGCCAATTAGCCCAGTTGGTTAGAGCGCGGTGTTATAACATCAAGGTCAAGGGTTTGGATCCCTGCACAGACCAGCTGCCAAAATAAAATTAAAAACAAGCTCATACCTGATGGAGAGTTTCTGGAAGACACACCACACCCCCAAGGGTTGGTTTCTGTGTTATTAGCACCTACTAAATCTCAGTTCTAAGAATCTCATTTCAATGATCTCTAAACAATTCTTGCTTCTGTGTCTGTTTCCTTCTGGTCTTGACAAAGAAGATTGGATTATTCATTGTAGTCAGCCAGTTAAAATAGGTCTTAGGTAGGTTTCTTCCAGAAGTCCACTCTGAGCCAGGGATCCATGCAAAAGTGGTTTATTAAGGAAGGGCTCCCAGGAGAACCAGTAAGGAAAAGGAAAGCAGGACATCAAAGGGGCGACCAATCGTGTGGTTGCTGGTGCAGTCCCAGACTCCACCTGATCCTGCTGGGGTTCTGTGCTAAGGAGATGGGCTTTTGCACTCCTGGCCAATGACTGGCTAGGGACCGACCGATGTCAGAGTCAGGGGAACTTATAAAACATTTGCAGCCCTTTATATGGTGGGATAGAGGTGGGGTCCAGTGCCTCAGAAGGTGGCAGGTATGAGTTTTTAGCAGCAAAGCAGGCAGAAGCTGGGGGATGAGCACACAAAACTGATAAAAAGGAACCAAGGTCATGCAGGCATAACCCTGCAATGACCACTGCCTGCAGCTAAATCTTTTCTTAGAGTACCTGTTAGGGGCTGAATTGTATTCCCCCAAAGTCATATGTTGAAGTTTTAACCCTCAATACCTAAGTATGTGACTGTATTTGCAGATAGGGTCTTTAAGTGGTAAAGTTAAAATGAAGTCCTTAGGGATGTCACTAATCCAATATGACTGGTGTCCTTAAAAGAAGAGGAGATTTGGACACAGACAGGTATAGAGGGGAGACTGTGTGGAGACACAGGGAGAGGACAGCCATCTACAAGTCAAGGAGAAAGGCCTCAGGAGAAACCAACTATATTAGTCCGTTTTTGTTGCTTATAACAAAATACATGGAACTGGGTATTTTATTATGGTTTTTTTTGTTTGTTTGTTTGTTGTTTTTTGGCAGCTGACTAGTTTGGGGGTCTGAACCCGTGACCTTGGTGTTACAAGGCTATAAGGCTGTGCTTTAACCAACTGAGTTAACTGGCCAGTCCCTGGAACTGGGCATTTTATAAAGAAAATGAAATTTATTGCTTACAGTTTCTGAGGCTGGGAAGTCCAAAGTCCGCCTGGTGGTGGCAACAGTGACCCAGGGGTTTCACAT